GTGATGATGCACCAGAGGGCTTTCCTGTTCTCAGAGGTGCTCCCTGGGTACCATGCTGTGATGCAGTATGTGATGATGCACCAGAGGGCTTTCCTGTTCTCAGAGGTGCTCCCTGGGTACCATGCTGTGATGCAGTATGTGATGATGCACCAGAGGGCCTTCCTGTTCTCAGAGGTGCTCCCTGGGTACCATGCTGTGATGCAGTATGTGATGATGCACCAGAGGTCCTCCCTGTTCTCAGAGGTGCTGCCTGAGTGTTGAGGCCCAGGTCAATCAGTTTGTTAGCCATCTTTTTTGGGGTGATGGTATTGAAGGCGGATCTGTAGTCAATGAACAACATCCGTACATAGCCGTCTCTCTGTTCCAGATGCGACAGGGCAGTGTGAAGGGCCAGCGAGACAGCACCCCCAGCAGACCTGTTTGCCCTGTAGACAAACTGGTGTTGGTCCAGAGAAGGTGGGATGTTTTTCCTCATGTGGGTTAAGACCAGTATTTCAAAGCATTTCATTATTATGGGGTTCAGTGCTACTGCATGATAGACGCTCAGGGACCTGGCTGCTGCCTGTTTTAGAACTGGGATGAGGTTAGTGGTCTTGAGACAGGTTGAACAGGCTGGTGAACACTGCTTCCAGTGCTTCAGGACCCGCCCAGAAACACTATACAGGCCAGCGACTTTGTTGGGGTTGATGTGGCTTAGGGTCCTTCTCACCTCGTGTGGTTGCAGCATTAGAGCAGTTGATGGTGCTTCATCCAGTGGTAGCTGGTTGTTGGCTCTGTCAAACTGTGCAGAAAATTGGTTCAGTCTGTCAGGGAGAGCTGGGTTAACTGTGTTTGATATGCTGCTGCTGTTGCCTTTGTAGTGTGTGATGGACTTTATGCCTTCCCGTATGCGGTGGGAGTCTGAGCTGTTGAAGTGCTCCTCTTTTCGTAATTTGTAGCTTCGCTTTGCTCCTCTGACACCTTTGTAGTCTAGTAGTTCAGTTTGGTGAAACTGTCTCTTCTGCAGTCAGTCACCTTGCCAGAGTAATAATAGACCCATTAACAGACCATTTGGCCTGCCCTTCTCTTTTGGAGGATCTTATAGCGCTTTTCAAGGTGGCTTCCCTTCACGTGTTTGTTACTCAACTTCTTTGGACATAAATGCAGGGATGGGTGTTGGTAGCAGGTAGAATAATGGCCTATTTCTAACGTGCATTGTCCTTCCATTCTTTACACCATGTAATTTATGCTTGTAGAAGTTTCGTTACACAAAAATGTCCTGAGAGCAGAATGAAAAATGATTGTAGAGGAGGAGGGTCCAAACAACTAGAGGCGGCAGGACCAAGACATCAGATTGGACCCTCCACCTCTAGTTGCTTGGATCCTCCTCCTCTATAATCTGATTGGTTATCTCTCTGAACCAATCATTTTTTTGTCTGCCTTCAGAAGATTTTTTTCTAAGTGAAACTCCCTTGAGTGTACACAGCTATTAGGTGCCGTTACAGATGCCTTCTTGGGGGCGCTATCATTAACCAGCTCTACTCTTACCTGCGCCACCCGCCTGGAAGTCCTCTGGCAGCAGGTTGTCTTGGCGATTTCCCAGCACAAAGGCAAGGAAGGAGAGGATGAGAGCGTCCAGAATGCTGATGATGGCCAGGATGTATGCCCAGCGCACAGTGCAGTTGCCCAGCGTGTACTTGCCCGTCCGCTGGCCGCACATGCGCTTCACTTCGTCTGAATCCCAGCCGTCGGGGTAGATCATGCAGCCAATCACCATGCAGACAGCTGTAGGAGGGAGTGCATGGGAGGGAGGGGGAGTAAAATCCCATTTGCTAATTGAAGGTTCTGAGGTGGGTGCCAAACAAAGGCTGGTCAGAACGTTTAGGCCCAACCACACTAATTAACTAAATCTTTCTAATTTCATTATTTTCACAAGAGAAAAACATGAAAATAGTAAAACAGCTTGTCGCTGGCTTTTCAAATGTAATGAGTACCTTTGCCATTATGTCAGTTTTCCCCTGATGTCTCGTGCAAATCAGCCCCCTCCCCTACCCCAGATTCACGTATTACCTGGTCATTATTACGCAGCCTTACAGCCTCTTTACATAATGACTCTGAAAGGTGTCTGATCAGTGGCAGATACATGATCTCCACGTCTCTAAGGTGTGAGCGTAACAGAGCTTTGCCAGCGAGAATAGCCTCATTATCCTGGAGTATCAGACTCACGAGATACAGACACTCTAACAAATCCACACCCAGGCCTGAAATGTGGCTGCGTCAGTCAGGCACAATCGTCAATGATGTAATTCCAAAGGCACTTGTACAATAAAGTTGTAGATTCAAGTTAAAAAAAATCACTTCAGTAATGACTCCACTGCATAAACAGAGAAAGGCTATGGAAAATCCTTAAGATTTAAAACAACTGTTCGTGAACTACAGCTGTCTGCTAATAAAATGCTTATTTTTACAAATGATGCTTTTAGAATGAACCCTTGACAGAAATCTTCCACCCATTGTAGTGGCCGAACAGCATAATGCATTTTAAATAAGTCCAAAATTCACAAGGTTTCAGTAAAATATTGATGAAATGTAACACTATGAAATATATTTGTATTTGTTGATGGCCAACACCTTTTTTAGTCATTTCCCCCGTAAGTTTGGCTGCAGTGTAAGGAGAGGTTACGCATTTCAGGGCAACGGCCTCCCGGTAACAGAAGAAGGTCCACAATGCACTTCCTGAGGATAGCAGGTGATCATTCAACACCTGGAGTGGGAACTGAGGTGGATCAATTTTGAAAAATCAGTTTCATTAATCCCAGAAGTAAACTACATTACTATGCCTATTTGCATGTCCTTTTATCATACATGCAAAATTAAGAGCTCAATTCCAAGTATTTTTAATGTATTTTATTTAAAGCACAAAATCTTGGTCACTGGTGTCATCACATCAAGATGCCTTAATTTTGTCATGAATTTGTTTATTTTCAGTTTATATTTCAATGTGTCTATTTAATTACATGTAGTTAAATAGTAAGTAAGATACTATCAGTCAGACAATATTTAATCAACAAGCACCTTGACATAACTCAACTACAAGACCAATGGCAGAATGTCATTTTATTTTATTTCACAAAACAGCAGAATTAACAGATGAAAGATCTTATTTCCATGTTAATTAGCCTTTTAATTATTCTGATAATTCATGACATTAACATCAGTCACAGAAGTTTTGTAGCACTGGTGTCATCCTGATGGTAGATTTTTTCTGCCCCTTTGGGGATAAGGTGACTTTCCACAGCTATTTAAAATCAATTATATAAAAGATTTGGATGATTGGATAATTTTGACAAAAACTCAATTACCCAGCCCTTACAATGCATAACACCAGTGACAAGTAAAACGTGAAAAACAAAATTCTCAATAAATTCATTAAATAAAATGAGTGAGTATGAACTCTCCTTCTCATTCTTGAGATGCTTCCTCTAACCCATGACCCAAGGAAGCAGTTCAATAAAGCGGGAAGTACTATGAGTCGCAATAACAGCAGTAAGCAAAATCTGTCATAAATGCAGTGCATTGTTAATGATGAATATAGTAAAAACTGAACTGTTCTATGCAATTTCATGTTATGCCTTTTTATGATCTCAAATGTTGAAATTTGGTTGTTCAACAAGCTGTTTTATAGGTGCAGAAGAAAATAGAAAGATCAAGCAAATCATGAGGGAAATGTTTATATGACCAATCGTACATTAACCGTGTGAATGTGCATGCTGTGCCGCCTGAGACACCGGTAAGCAGCCACGTCTTGTGAGAAATGGCCCATCTGTGTGTTGAACCCCCACTACACATATATACCAAACGTAGGCCACAAGCCAAAAACTCTACACACAAGGCACAGGTGCACTGCCTCCCAGCCAGGATGTGAGATTCATGCAGCTGTACTGATGTGGGGATGTCCAAGAATCTTATCGGAAAATCGCTGTTTTCAACATGGAACATGTTAGTGCACCTGCTGTCTTTTGGGTAAAAGACCAAATCCCCAAGTATTAATAAATAGTCAGCAATGAATATACACAATTATAAACCATAAGCTGTGTTTACACTAAAAATGACTTCTTTCTGGAACATATGGCAAATATACCGAACCACAGAAACTCAGTTAATCTAAAATATATTGTATTTTATTTATATATTTGTAAGGTAACATCTCTTTTTTTACAAGTGCCCAGAAAATAATGCATTTCATAAGCTAACTGGTGCAGAACACCAGGACGTCGTCACTCTGAGTGTAAGTTATATACAGGTGATCGTACAGTTTCATTTAATGAGGCTCCTAATTGAAGAACAAATTTCCGACATTCTGTCCTTTTTTGTTGTTTGTGATATGAGACTGCCAATGTTCTAACGTCATCATATGTTACAATATATGTTACTCACTCCTAATGTAATCCAACGAAGAATTTAAATTTCCGAAACTTACGAAGGGGATTGAGTGAATTTTGGCAATTCGTTCTTCAATTAGCCTACATGCAGAGCGAATCGCTAAAACGTTTCCTAACTCCTAACGTGTGACTATTTTAAATAACAACGAGTGAATATTTCATAGCTCAGTATCATCTTCAGAACTAGGAATTTACGCAGGCTACCTGTGCTGTGACATATTACACATCTGCTGTGTAGGAAAGGATGGTTAATATCACTTTCTGTGATAACTTGGATCCATTAAGTATTTATCTGTGAGACAACATACAGTAGATAGTGTGTGAGTGAATGGTGTGTGAGTATACACCCCCCTCCCCGACCCTGAATAGGACAAGCGTTTTCAGAAAATGGATGGATGGACTAAATGCAGTAACTTTACGTTCACGTCTATCAACATGCGTACATTTAACCCGATAAAATGGCGCGCATAAAATCTACCTCCATGCTATCAAGCACAATCTGATTACTCACTTGAGTGGAGTTTTATCAAAGTGAACCGGTACCTGACGCCAGCTGCATCCACGCACAGATCTTGTACACGCTTCCGCTGTTGCAGAAGAAGAAGAGTCCGAAGCAGACCATGGAGCCGACCACCAGCAGCGTGGAGACACCCACGAAAAACATCGATGTCCTAAATGCTGGAGAAGGTATGGAGTTGAAGTCCAGGGCGCTTCCTTTGCAGGTCAGCTCGGAGGTCAGGGCATTGCCGATACAGTAGTGGAAAAGGCCGAAATAGCCCGCTTGAGGCGTGTTCACGCTGTCCCCGATCCAGTAAGGCTGGATGAACACCACCACCGTGATGATGGAAAAGCAGATGGTGAACACCGCCCACATCACGCCGATTGCCCTTGCATTCCTCACATAGTTTGTGTGGTAGATTTTGGCAGCTTCCTGCGCCGGTAACATTTTCTCCATGTTAGCAGGTTATTAATGTGGATACTAAGAGATCACTGACGCAAGGAGAGGAATCAGAGCATAGGACAAGTGCGCTGGGAGGTTAGTGGGTTGCGATATATTTACCGCCTCGAGTCTTCTGCTTTCCTAAACTGTCCCGTGAAAATGATTAAACTGAATCGTTATCGCTAAATTGTCTTCACCCTAATCAGTAAAGCCAGGTGCCACTTTTTGCCGCTGTTTTGAATTATCATTTGCAGTGTTCTTCCTTAATGCTACTTTATATGTTCTAAAACGCTGGCAACACCTTGTCTAATAAGTTTGGCATTGCGTGCGTAGTTCAGTGTCAAGGCCTCCTTGGCTTCTGTCTGACTGGCGGGCTGCGCCGATGGCCGGAATGCGTTCAGGACCCCGGTCAGCTCCGTTACAGGGCTCTGACGTTCGCATCGACGCGGCTTTCCTGGGTGGTGCCTGGGGAAGTTCGTGGGCTCCACGTGTTGCTGCTGGGCTGTCAGACCAAGAGGTTCAATGTGGGCTACAAAATCCGAGAGAAGCGTTTATTTATGTATATTTACTACAGTTTTGCCCCGGGGAATTTGAAAGCTGACGTTTCTATAAATACCAAAATTCTCTTTCGCATGAGGAAAAAGTTAATTGTCTAATTGATATTACTAAATGATCCATATACACTGCTCTAAGGATGTTAATCTGAGGTTATGATTTACTTTTGCCCATAGTTATTATTAATAAAGCGGATTATCGTCACTGGTATCTTAGTGTATTTTACACAGACGAAAACAATATACGTAATTTTTACATTCCTTTATGGGCAGTAAACACTAAAACTGAAAAGGTAATATCAGCAATGAAGTAATGAGAAAGCTGTCAGTATCATATGAAATAATTAATGAGGAAATATCTCAATTTTAATTATTTCCATCATTATTGCGAAGAGATAAAACAAGTTCATTAATTCCTGTTGGAAGTTTTTTTGTCCAATTGTACAAAAACAGAATAATTACAACAAAGGAAAATGTAAACAAAAATGACATAAATATGTAAAAGAAATCAGTAATAAAATAGACCTAAACATAACCAATTTAAAGAATCAGAACTATGCAAAAGAAAACTGCCCTACAAAGGCAAAATGAGCAACTACGCTGACAGTAACTACACTGACACGGAGACTCGGAAAAGGGTGCTGTGTCTTGGTTTTAGTCTGGATGTGTGGTTACTAATTTTCAGACTTTGTTTTTTCAAAACCAAGCACAGTTCAACTAAGATGATTTGTCACGAGATAAAACAGAACCCAAGAACCCTGATTTTGGCTATAACTCAAATTTGATAAAATACGCAATATTTTCTTTTGCCTTTGTATGGCAGAATGTACTGCTATGATAAACGCAGTTTAAAATAGCTGTCGGGAAAAGGGCATACGTACATTCAGTGTCCATTCGAAAAACTAGTGCTGTTAGAGGAGGTTACATTATACAGTTGTATGGCAGTGGGTAAAAAAGACCGACTGTAGCACTCAGTTTTGCAATTGGGGATAGTTAAAAATAAACTATTTGAACAACACAGCTCCCCTAAAGGAAGTGCCTTCAGGCATTTAATGTACTTTGGCTGACTCTTTTGCCAGCAGGAGGTGTTGAGGAGTAAATGATTAATGGTAAGTCTACCTTGGATATAGAATGATGACCAAAACCTTGATCCCCAAGGCTGTTATTCTAACTAATCAGAAGGATCGTGTTCAGACACCCAAGGAAACGCTGAGCAACTGTTGCCCTGAAATGACTGTTATTGAAACAACTTCAAGCAACTTTTTAAACGTTATTTCTCACTCCTCCATAGTATAAATGAAAACAAGCCATTGCTGCCTTTGGCTGTGTGAATGATTTTCAGTTTCAGAGAAGAATGATCTTGTTCATATTTTCATGGGGTCTGTAACTAAGTGGTTAGATGATGGATGAGTGTAACTGTTTCCTTAAAGAACTTTAGCATATACTCAAATTAAATAGGTTTTAAAGGTTATCTGGTGGTTCTTATCCATGACTTATGAAATCCATTTATCTATAACAAATTATTCGGTGCATGGTGATAATGATAACTGTCCCCCACATTCACCATAGCACAATAGGCAGTTTAGAGAGAACAGCTTACACAGGAAACCCCAGCTTACAAATGCAAACTCCACGCAAACAGACCTGAGTGTAGAAATCAATCTACTAATCCTGGAGGTGCAACACCACAGCGGTATACAGCGAGCCATCGCTCCAGATCTCATGAAGTCAAATATCTAAATGCTTTTAATTTTTCATGCCTGAATTTCCAAAGGAGATCATCACCTTTATTGATTAGAACTAGAAACATTTTGATCTTAAACAGAGGTTGTGAATTGATTTTTAGTGTGTTAGCAGTTAATTGGTCGATATAAAATATAAAACAATGTAAAAGAAGTTCATTATTTTTCCTGAGTTTGAAGAGGAGGACATCCACAGTCAAAAGAGAAGCCTCATGTCTTCCTGAAAATGTGTTAACTTTGATTCGGCTGTGAACCAGCCAGGTGTAGCCGATGAGAGAATCAGGGCGATAGGGCAGTTTTCCAACAGAGTGCAACTTCCGGGGGTGTGGTATGTGTATATATACACACGTCTGTCCTGTGGCTGCATAGCCTGGACAGAAGGCACCATGAAGGCCGTGGCTCTACTGGTGGTGTGCATGCTGGCTGTGGCTCTGGCAGCCCCAGCACAGGAGAAGGGCCTGATCATTAATCTGGTGGGTGTTCCAACTGCTCTCTTGGATTTCCTGGTCCTGATTCTCCTTAGCTGTAGCTCACAGAGCTCAAGCAGAAGTGGAACCCTACTGTATAGGCTGCCTTTTAGGCATAACATTGGAAGCGGCATTCAAGCACCGTAAACGAAGCTGGACGTTTATTTGCTTTGTCTTTAACGAGTTTGGGAACAATATTCATGGAACTCATCACATTTCTGGCTTTACTAATTTACTGTTGCATTCTGATAGTAGTGATAGAAAAGGCAGATTTTCCTTCTACAGAGACTAATTTAAGCATTTCTCTCATTGTTTGTCTTTATATTTATCCTTGCGTATGTGATGTTTGTGCATGTGTAGGTGTCCGTGCAATTTCTGCGTGGTCCGTGCCCTTATGTGATGTATGCGCATGTGCGGCCATCCGTGCGATTTCTGTGTGGTCTGTGCTCTTATTTGATGCATGCACATATGTGGGTTTCCATGTGATTTCTGCGTGGTCTGTGCCTTTACAGTATGTGATATTTGCACATGTGCAGGTGTCTGTGCGATTTCTGCAAGGTCTTTGCCCTTATTTGATGCATGCACATTTCTGCATCGGTCATGCCATTATGTGATGTATGCGCATGTGGGTAGGATTTTTCGTGTGATTTCTGCATGGTCCGTGCCCTAATGTGATATTTGCGCATGTGTGGGCGTCCGTGTGATTTTTGCACGGTTCGTGCCCTTATGTGATGTATGCACATGTGTGAGCGTCCATGTGATTTCTGCGTGGTCCATGCCCTTATGTGATGCATGCACATATGTGGGGTTCCGTGTGATTTCTGCGTGGTCTGTGCCTTTACAGTATGTGATATTTGCGAATGTGCAGCTGACCATGGGATTTCTGCATGGTTCATGCCCTTATGTGAGGCATGTGCATGTATGAGTGGTCATGGGATTTCTGTGCGGGTTGTGCAATTATGTGATGTATGCGCATGTGGAGGTTTTCGTGTGATTTCTGTGCGGTTTGTGCCCTTCTCAGGACATCGGTGAGCTCTGTCTAAACAGCCTTCAGTGCAAGAGCTCCTGCTGCCACCGAAAGAATGGACTAAGTCTGGCTCGATGTGCTCCACAGGCTAAAGAGAATCAAGAATGCTCCCCAAAGGTACGACAAGGTGCCTGGCGCCCCCAGTCTGCAGGGCATTTATATTAGATAACAGATGACTGTACTCTGCATGCCCATATGTTTAAGAGTTTTCTCTTTTGATTTTTTCTTTACTTTGTGTTAATTCCCACAAAATGCATCCTTCCTGTTTTAGTTAAGACTGTGGTAGCACACAGTATCATTAATAGTAGTGGTAGGCGTGGACGCAGTAATGGAAACATGTACATATAGGATAATGTGTGTGATGAATGCTGCTGCTGTATTGCTCATAAAACAGGGAAAGATTAAGTTAGCGCCCCCTTGTGGACAAATTGCAATCTGATATGCTAGTTTATACCAACCCGGTGGTGGTGGCAGCTTGTATGTCAGTAACTTATGATACAGATGGAGACAGACATGACTGCCGCCCCTCCCTCCACAGACTCTTTATGGCACCTACTACCACTGCACCTGTGAGAGTGGCCTCAAATGTGACAGTGACATCACCATTGGAGGCTCCATCACCAACACCAACTTTGGAATCTGTGTTGACCCCAATGGCAAGCAGGCTGGTGACTAAGGAAGGATGATCATGCATACAGGCTGCTCTTTTGGATGACAATAAAGTCACACTGCCCTGTGAATTGCATTCCTTAGTGAGAATATTTTTGATGCCATTAATATGGAGCTCCAAATACACTAAGAAAATATAATCTATACAATTCAGTTTTTTTGTTGTTGTTTCAAATGCCCTGTAAAGTCTGTCCATACTAGGTAATAAGGTATGTAGCAGCAAATTAAGCGCTCACAGGGATTTTTCTCTGTTTTTCTTTAAGTTATAAGTTAAGTTGAAATACAGTGGTACCTCGGTACTCAAACTCATTAAAACTCGAATTTCTTAAAATTCGAACCAACCAGTTCGGAAAAAAAAGACCCAGAACTCGATCTGAATCTCAGAAGTCGAACCGTGAACGCCGACCTAAGATAACTTGTATGCGCAGGAAAATGAGTCACGCAGCACGTCTCTCAGCGGAAACAAAGGGTAACGCTTCACTCTCAGCCTCGCATTCGCTGTGATAGCATCGTGCATCGTCGTACAGAGCAGGGACAGAACGGAGACAAAGACGCAGATGTCAGAGTATTGGGGAATACAGGGTTTAATTACAGGTAAGGCAGCCAAAACGCAGAGGGACAATACAATGACCAGACTGGGGAAACAAACTGAAATGCAGACTTAATACAGAGGACTAATGACAACAACCAGAAACAGCTGATCACACGGGGATTCTACACAGGGTTAACGAGGGGGCGTGGCACACGGAAAGAGCGGACGATCGAGGCATGACACTCACTGGAGTGCTTTGTCACAGATAACTTAATTTTCTTTAACAAAGTGCCTAACCGCACATTAAATAAAGTCACACAACAAAGGTGCACAACAGTGTTCAGATGTTGTGTTATTGGTTGGCTGAAATTTAAACGTTTTCTTCAGAGACAGGGTGGTAACGCCGAAAACACGAGCTAAACGCAGCAAACGAAAGGCTACCGGAAATTACTTAGCTGGCTGAACTTTTACCGGAACTATGTCACACCGTTCTGTGCATATAGCCTATTCTTTCACGCGAAAAGGGAAACACACTGACGTCACATACGGGGCACGAGGCTACATTGCGCATGTCATGAACCGTCGAACCGTGAGACGCATGCATGCTCCGAACCGAGACAAGCGAACCGAACGGTTCGGTTTTTTTTCATGAACCGTGCCATCCCTAGTTACAGTACTACGGTCATGTAATACATTTCCCTGAGGGTGATCTAGCTTGCAGGATCCTCATTGCTAAGGACCCAAGTGGCTGGACCAGACCAAGGGGACGCCCACGTAACACCTGGCTGGGGCAGATGGATAGCCATTTCCGGAGGGTGGGACTGAACCGTGTATCTGCCTGGGGGATCGCAGGCTGGGATCCCGAGGAGTTTTGCTGCGTGGTGGGTGTGGCAACGCGCTGCATCAGCGCATGCTTCCCAGCATGACCTGACCATCATACACACATGCTATCTATTTCACCAGTGGAAGCTGTTCACTGAGGTGTGATTACCTGCCTGTCTTCTCCACCATACTCACCAGCTTATTCATCTGTGTGGATGTGGAGCTAATGTGGGTGTACTTGCCGTTATCGGTCTGGCAGCGTTTACGGCAGGCTGGCTGCTCTTTGTCACTGTGTCGGTGCTTGTGGCTTGCCTCGTCGTCATTGCTGCCGTGGTGCTCCTCAGCATTTGCTGCAGGCTGGCTGCTCCCTGTCATGGTTTGTCGTCTTCGCTATCGCAATACTCCTCAGCGTTTGCCAAAGGCTGCAAGCTCACTGCGACAGTTCATTGTCTTAGCTGCCATAGTGCTCCTCATCACGGTGCTGTCTCTTGTAGCTTTCCACGTTGTTGTTGCTGCCATGGTGCTCCTCGGTCTATGCCACAGGTTGGCTGCTCTTCATCGTGGTGCCACCGCTTGAGGTTTGCCACATCGTCGTTGCTGCCATGGTGCTCCTCAGCATTTGCCGCAGGCCAGCTGCTCTTCATCATGGTGTTGGTGGTTGCGGCTTGCCTTGTTGTCATTGCTGCTGTTGTGCTCCTCTGTGTTTGCAGCAGGTTGGCTGCTCTTTGTCGTGGTGCCACTGCAAGCGGCGTGTCTCATTGTCATTGCTGCAGTGGTGCTTCTCGGAATTTGCTGCAAGCTTGCTGCTCTTTGTCACGGTGCCTCATCATCATTGTGATGTTCCTCACTGCTCAGGCTCGAGAGGTTCTCGCATGGTGAGTCCACCTTGCATCTCTTCTTCTTTTTACAGCTCTGGAATTGCTGTTGGAGTTCCTCTCAGATATATCCTGGCCTCTAGAAGGGTATGACATGCAGGGCACATTAACAATACAGTAAATAATGTGTTTACACTTCTTCAGATTATACAGATGCTCAAAACCTTAGCGAAAATATTTAAGGAAAGTATAAAGTGCCTCAATTGCATTTGTGACAATCATATTTCACATGATGCACATCCGTAATGGCCCTTAATATTCTCTTGCATCAGTATAGTCTCTCTTTGCTAAGTAGGCATTTTCCTTCCTGCAGATGAAAATATCAAGGGTTAGATATTATGACCTTTTTGTTATGGTTGACAACATAGACCTAGTGCAGAGGTGTCAAACTCCAGCCCTGTAGGGTGGGAGTCCTGCACATTTTTGGGTTTCCCCTCATTTAACACACCTGATTCATCTTCTTGCACCTCCTTGCATGGCTCTTGCAATAATTTAGTTGAATAATTTGTGGTGTAACAGAGAAAGAAATAAGTTTCATAGGGCTCAGGCCCTCCAGGACTGGAGTTTGACACCCCTGACCTAGTGTAATGGATTCTGGCATGGGGAGGACTGGCCACACATTCAGCCAGAACGGTTGTGTTCCATTCCTTTCTTCCAGTCTGGTCATCTGCAGCACCATGCAATGAATGTGGCATCCCAGAATGTAAGATGGAGGTTCTCACATTGGGGTCTGACAGCATCATCTAAGCACCTCACCTGATGTAGAACAGGACATAGGCTTGTTGGCTCCTGATGTTGCTGACAGTGGCTAAAGTGTCAATCATGAGATACCACTGGTCACTGCTGGCCTGGAACAAACCAGCCGGGTTCAACCACATGCTCATGCTGAGCTCATACTAAAGCATCTCTAGCCAGTGTAAAAGATGGATGGAGCCCACAAGACTAACCTTGATGTAGCTGCAGTATTGTCCAGCATGGCAGCTGAATCCCTAGTGAACCAGCATGGTGTGCAGGCAGTAAATCAAGGGCTCTCCCTGGGACCTAGACATAAATAGACGCATGTACAGGAGCGGAGGGTACCTGACAGCAGGGCTCACATTAACCTCCACATTTCGTGGAGCACCATCTTGATTGTATGCCACGTTTTCAGAAATACTTTTTAGATGTACTTGCAAAAGTTGTGCATTCGAAAAGGTGACCCATCTCCACAGAAGACAAACACCATTAAGGACAATTGCCTCTTACTTGGTACACTTGTAGGCATTCTCTCCATTTAGTTGTTCAGGCTTAACAAACTGAAAGAGAGCTTTGGTGAAGCTCACAGTAGGCTGTATTTTTGCACAAAATCATACAGATTTGATTGATGCAAAGACCAGTCAATAAAGTCAATAGAGATCTCGATTACTATTTACTGACTGTCAGAGGGGAGGATGATTTCTGCTTCCAATGCAATACAACGTATTTGATTGCTACAACACAATGCAGATCTATGTGTAATCCAGGTTAGGAATATGGATAAAAGCGAACATTTAAATTAGTTTAACGAATTACATTAAATTTCTGTTACCTAAATCGCTTTGACAATATTGTACAAAAATATAGGTATTAAACAAATCAAAGAAATGAGAGCCATATGGGAAATACTTTTAATCGCTTCTTTTTATTTGACTTCACATATAAACTTCACACTTGGAGTGATTCAGCCAATCAGAGCAATGCGCGGGGAATCTGTGCAGCTCGAGCGTGCGACCTCATTTTTCTGTCCTGAGAAGAGAACGGAGCAGTTGGTTTGAGTAAAGCAGCAGTATGATGTAACCCACATTTAAAAAGTACTTATTGAGTAAAAACGTTATCCATATTAAAATGTAGTTTTAAACTTTTAAAATGACATATGTATGCTTTTTACTAAAAACTTTTCCTTTTAGACCTAAAAAAGGTAACTTCCTCTTTAAGACTCATGGTGGCGTTTATAAAGCGTCCAGGACGGGGAGAAGAACTGCGGGAAAAACAGTGAAACCCGCTAAACAGATTTTTAGCAACCCAAAGGATTACTAGCACTGGATTACGACGGTTTTTGGTCAGTGTCCACCGTTTGAGATGCGAAGCAGTACAAGCCACTCACGGAAACGGTGGCGAGCTAAACCCACGGATCGCGTACATGGATCTGCATCGACCTTTTCTTTTTCTACTGAAGAAAAACCGATGCTCAAGGTCGGACTGTGTTGATACAGCTTCAACAGTGCGGTAGGATATATGTTTATTTCATCTGGAGGACTGAACTGATATTCCTTTTTTTTTTTTACTTGGACTCGGACTTTCTTAAAAACAGTGCCTGAATTCCTGTACTTCCATAATTGTTGGTGTGCAATGTTTGATTTTTTGTTTGTTTATGTAAACTAAGGAGTATTTCCCGTGTTTTACCTGAAAAGGGTAATACGTGAAAGGGTAGATTTACCTGGGTATAATATTCAAAAGTGACTACTTACATTGACCGCTCTCATCGAACCTAAATCTGGCCCTGTAGCATTACTTGCAGTGGTATACAAACATAAAAGTGTTACAAAAACATCAGGTTTTTTCTTTATATGAAACCGCTGGGTCAGTATTATTATATGTTGGAGCTCTTGTAAAGTTGACTGCGATTACAACAGAGTACATGTGGAGTCTCCCGCGGTAACCGCGAAGCTTATCGCTGTGTTATCACTAGCCGAAATGCTAATATTAAACGAGGTGTTTATTTTAATGTGAACGAATTGTTTAACATATGAAGTAAGTAAAATAAAATGAGAACCTTGTCAGTTAGAATGTATAATTTTGTCCTATTGTTTTGTAATGTACTGTAGAGACACCAACTGTCTAAAACAAATTACTTTTGTGTGCCACACACACACACTTGGCCAATAACCCTGATTCTGATTACTTTACCGTGAACGTACTTTATGCCTGCGAAGAAATGTGTAATGTATTGAAGTGCGACAGTTACACGTATGAAATGTTATAACATAAGGTAATGGAAGCAAATTAATATTTGTATTTAAACGAATGTATTTTATTTCTAATTTAGTATTGTGAAACGGTGCCTCTTACACCTACTTGGCTTATTATATATTATTATATTTTGTTGGATCAGGGCTATTGGATCAGATATTGGATCAGGGCTCTAGACTAACTTTTTGCACTGGTTGCACTGGTGCGCCTAACTTTTTTTCTTAGGTGCACCAGCACAAGAGTTAGGTGCACCCAAATTTTCAACCGCATCACATTTAACACCGCAGTTTTACAAGTTCACCTTTATTTATATATTTATTTATTTGTTTGTTTGTTTGTTTGTTAAATCGCTGTCCATATAGGCAATATTGACTTGTAAACGATTAACTAACAATCTGGTCAATATAAAGTTCTTTATTTGAAGGCAAGCACAATTCTACAAGAAAGGTAACTTACTGAAAAAGTGTTGGTGCTTAAAGTGCTTTACTGAGCTGAAATTTAAACTTAAAAAATCTCAAGATAAATTACCTAAAAAGAAAATCTAAATTGTGTTTTAAGGGCTTCAAACTGAACATCTCATGGCTCAATGTCTTATGGACTATCCTCCATTGCAGTCACATGCCCCTCGGATGACCAACTCCTGTAGTTTGGCCTTCTTGATCTTTGGCCTTGACTAAACCAGCTGGCCACACTCTCTCTAGCATCAAAATCTTCCAGACTTGGCCCCTCTACACTGATTCTTATCAGATCTTCCACTGTGTCTGAATGAAGGGATGCTCTAGTGTCTGATTTGATCCTCTTCTGTGCAGAGAACCCTCTCTCACAAACTGCAGCTGAGACAGGGAGGACCAGCATAATATGTACAAGGTGCAGGATGTTCCGAGAAAAAAAATGTGGATTGTCCCTCTGCACTGACAACATTGCCAATTCCAATCTGAAAAGATAGTCAAATTTTAAATTTAGATACATCTACATTTAAATGAAAAAAACTCACAGTGACTTTAGGGTGTCAGTCATACCTTATCTTCTAGTCTTACCTGTGAGGCATACAGTGGAAAGGCACAATATGGTCACCTGCCTCTTGCTGCAGAAGTGCTATGACACCCCCTTTGCTGCCCAAATTAACAGCAGCACCATCAGCACCCAGAGCAATGATTTTCTCCAGCCAGTTACTGCACTGGTCCCCAAGAGCAGCAAATGCTTTCTTTGAGGCAGCATAAATTCCTAATTAAACAAATAAAAACAATAATACCATTTACTACCCAGATCAAGAGTTTATAATGCAGTCTATTTATTTATTTTTATTTTTTCATTTTTAAGTATAAGAATATTATGGTTAATGCAGTAACGAGACGGTAGGCATATTATTGACATAGGCTCCATGACATGACATGGCTTACCTTGGGCATGAGCATGCTCGACCTCAATGTGTCCAATAAGTAAGTATATTCACCGGTCTTCCTCTCCGCAAGATACGACCGTACACAATGGCGCATTCCTTTGTGGCGATATCTGTGTCTCCGTCGATCAGGAATGCCATGTACGCACTGTTCGCAATTTGCACAGACGTCTTTTTTTTCAATGTATCTGCGATGACTCCTATAAATTGGGCGCACGCGACATCATTGCTG